TTTTTTTTTTTTTTTTTTGGCGACGACAGGTACAAAAGTGAGCGCGTAAATAGCAACTTGCGCCTTTTTCTCTACACATAATTCGAATCTTCGCAAATTTTTCAGAGCAAATATATGATTTTGATCTCTGATAATGTTTAATTAATTTTTTATTACACTTTATATTTTTAGATGTGAATAAATTTTATTTTATTTTTTTGCATACTCGAGCAAAGCTACACGTTGCTTCGAATTATATAAGAGAAGAATGCATTTATTCCTATTTACATGATCTCATCTTTACACCATCGCGAACGCAACTTTGCAAAAAGAATACTGTGAGGTTTATCCTGCTTCGAATTTGACTATCATCCTAAAGACATCTATTGATTTTTAATACAGCCGAAAGAGTTGAATAAAAAATGTAGAACGCGTGTTTTTAATAAGAAATGCAAATTTAAATTTGAGACATAATATTAGAAATATATTAATTCCGCGTAATTTGACATAAAGTGCCACACACGTTTAACTAATTTCGCAGCTTTGCAAGTAAACAAGTATTCCTGCGATCACTGAATCGAGAGATAATTTTTGAAGTGCAGTTTAAATTGTCAATGAAATCAGCTGATCGCCGACGTGATTAATTTGCGTAAATACGGTAGCGGCTAGGTTTCTTATTATTTAAAGGAACTCTATTTATATTAAACTTCTTTCTATACGAATTGCGCCGTACAAAGAGAGATTTAGTTCATATTATACAGGGTGTCCCATTTTAATGTCCCACCCCAAATAAGTTCTTTTATTTTTGATTGTAGAAAAAATGTTTCACACAAAAGTTGTATGGTTTCGAGGAGGACATAAGGTGGTGCCATTAGTTTGACCTTGAATAGTTGCTTGAGGATCCTTAATTTCTTAAATGGAACCACCTAATTTTTATTGCATATTCTTGTAGCTGACATCGAGAGCAAACACTATAATGAAACATTTTTATCTCAAGTACTTTTTGAGTTATAAGACAAGATTTTCTCACCTCTCAAGATGACCTTTGCGTGACCTTCAAGCAACTATTCAAACTAATGGCACCATTTCCTCGAAATCATACAATTTTTGTCTGAAACATTTTTTTCTACAATCAAAAATAAAAAACTTATTTGGGGTGGAACATTAAAATCAGACACCCTGTATATATATATATATATATATATAACATGGCGCGCTTATACATTCAGAAACCGTAATGTAAAATTTAGAGATTGGGATTATTACTTACTCGGGAAAGCGGTTTAAATTGCATTTCATTGCGGTACGCGTCGCAATTAAGCCGGTCGTTATTACTAATTACTACTGTGCACTTAGTCTCGCTATATGACGCATTATTACTCTGACCAAGGGGGTGGGAAACCAGTTGGAGAGAACCTATTCGCGGGGAACTCGAATCTCCGGGAATCCTTTGTTCGCGTCCCACAATCTCGAGCTTTCCTCGAGCGCTGGATTTTTTCCTCGTCTTTTCGCGATACAAGATTACAAGGGAATGGCTGAATCGCGTTTAGCAAAGATCGGCACTCGCATCGATCGATACAGGATTGTTTTATCATCGAATCTCCGAATTCTTCTCATATTATATATGGTACACAGGGAGAATTTTTCCTTACATTTTTTTACCGCAAAAATTCACTACGAATTTTATCATGTTTGATAATAGGCCGAAAATTACCTGCATAGGCTGCATTGTAAAATTTGTGTATAAAATATTTTGTATGTTTATAATTTTATATTTGAAAACTATTATAGATTTTAAAATTAATCAAACATCTTTTACATTTAATTGCGATAGATAATTTTTATTGTGATAATATTAATCACAGAAATTCTCTTGAAATATTAACTATCATACGATTTTCAGAATAAATTCTAAATTCCCTCTGTGTAACGATTTCAATATCGATGCATGTCGATATTCTTGATTGAAGAAATTCGATTTTCCAATTCTTCGAATTTGATCGATCGATGAGCAACGACATCTGAAAGTTTCTAGATTGCGTATACATTCCTTCTCTCTTTTATGCACATGCACACATATTATGCACGTACACACGTGCAGTTTATCTTTCTTGCTAACATACAACGCTTTATTATTAAATACCGGAAGATTGGCTTGTGCTCCCTTGCCGGGACAACAAGATGATAACTTTTATACTGTACAATCATCTGACAACGGATAAGATATATCATAAAAAAATTCGGTATTATACTTTCTTTCGTCGTAAGCATTTCTCTATTATTTATTACACATGCTGTCTCTCTTTCTCTGAAATCTCTATCAGAGATAGATCCTATCATAATTCTGAAATGACATTTTTCCGAATATTCGTATCAAGAGGAGAAAGAAAATGAAAGTCCTTTCCGCAATCAAGATAAAGAGATATTTCCAATATAATTATAGATATTAATTTCAATCAATTTCTCTTTACATTATTACCTACGACTTTCTCTCAACTATTATAAATGCTTTTTTCAATTACCTTGTCTGATTCGATACTATTTAAAAATGCGAGAAATCGTGCAAAAAAATTCTGCGATTATCTGCTGAATTTAGGCTTCTTTTTGCCGAATTAAGTCTTTTAATAATTCCGGAATAATCCTACTCTACGAATATTTTTTAAAATTTAACCGCGAGAAGGAAAACAAATGTAATTCTGAAAAAAATTTTTTTTCAAAGTATTCAAAGTATTTGTATTAAAGAGAAGAAACGAAAGTTTTCACGTCCCTCTTCCGCAATTAAAATAAAGATACTTATATCATTTAATTATGGATATTAATTTAAATCAATCTCTTAACACTAGCAATAACTCTCTCTTAACTATTATAAATGATTTTTTTTGTGCCTTGTTTAATAGATGCGACACTATTAAAAATGCAAGAAATCATGCCAAAAAATTTTATAAATGAAATATTTCTGCGATTATTATCTGATTAATTTAGATTTTTTCGACTTGCCGAATTAATTCTTTTTGACTTCGGAATAATTCTACTCCACGAACAATTTTTTTTAAGTTTTTTTTTAAAATTAAAGCGTAATGCACGAGAAAAAAGACAAATGTAATTCTGAAATAAATATTTTTATCAAAGTATTCAAAGTATTTGTATTAAAGGAAAAAAAACGAAAGTTTTCACGCGTTCCTTCCGCAATCAAAATAAAGAAATATATTTAATTTTATATATATATATATATATATGTATATCAATTTCAATTAATTTCTCTTAACATTATTATAAACCATTTTTTTTATTACTTTGCCCAGCAAATTCGATACTATTTAAAAATGCAAGAAATGCAAAAAAAAAACAATTTTTACAAAACGTTTTAAAATTAAACCGCAATGCGCGAGAAGAAAGACGAATGTAATTCGCTGATAAAGATGTGTTAATTATGATATCAGTCGAGAATACGTTAGCTTTGGGGCGAGAAATTTGTCTTACGAGTCTCTCGAGTGTGTCATCAGGTATTTCACACGTGTACACAATCGTTCGCAGTCTTAGTTAATCTGTGCTCAAAGTAATTATCGAACGGTTTCAAGATACGAAGCCACGGCGAGAGAGATTCAAGTAAACACGTCTAATGAAAACACAAATGTTGGGCGCAGTTCTCATATTTTCACAAAAATAGAGAAGAAATTCTGCAAAAAAAAAAAAGAAAGAAAAAAGAGGGCGGAAAAACTAATTGTAAAATATAGAGCAGAATATATATATATATTGATAGGATCCATCTCTCTCTTTCTCTTTCTCTCTTAGTGATTTCAACGTATTGCGTTTCTTTCTATCACCTAGTTTGTCGTTACTATCTACTGATTGTTTACGTCACCAATTCCGTATCTGCAGGATCCGAGGCTAGAAAACATTCTATTCTCCCCAAGAGGTCTATATATAAATTTTCGTGTCGTGGAGAAAACTTAAACTTGTGTGACCTGACCGACATCCCTGACTTTTACACCCGCTCATTATCACTGTCCAACAAAAAAATTAACCGGAACGCGAGTAGTCGTTTCTTTTAGTTTTTCGGGTGCTGAATATGAATCTGGATTCCAAATTGCTCCATCATGTCACAATTTTTGAGAAAATTTTAATTAATGTTGCAAGAAACGGCTTTTTCACGAACTTTGTTATATTCTAGCTACACTGAAAAAAAAAAAGATTCATCAAGTTGACTAAACCTTTCAACTAAATTACTATTTTGTTAATGGAACATATATTAGTATTTAAGTCAAATATATGTTTTCTGTGTTAGATTTAATATATTATATTTAATTTAAATATTTTTAATGCTAAAGTGTATAAAGTATATTGTTAGGATCTTCAATCCTCACAAGGAATTTTTGATGCCGATTATAATCAATAAGGTATCCATAGTTAAAAGAAATGTATTCCGGAAGTCAGCTGTGACTTAGATCATTGAAAATTTCAATTATGTTTATTTAATGTTAAAAAAAATTCGTGTTTAATGACCTAAAAACCCTTAAAAGCTATTTAGTAAATCGACACCAAAAACTTCTTTGGAGGATTAAAATCCCAACAACATGCCATATTTTAATAGCAATAAAATTTCATCAGTAGTTCATTAAAGTACCCTGTTTTGCAACTTTAATTCAAAATGTTCGAAAATTGTGATGGAGGAATTTGAAATCCGAATTCTGCGTTCAAAACACTAGAAGAAACGGCTACTTTTCTGGTTAATTTTTTTTTTTTTCGTCGAACAACGTTATCAACCCACTTCCTCCTTTCCTGCCCTCTTACGGGGATTTACGCTAAAACTTTTTTACAGAGACTGCGAAAATCGTAGAGATTGTAGACACGCTCTTATTGCAATAATTATCTACGGAGGTACCCGCACTTTTGCGAGGAAGAAACTTCGTGTAACTCTTTATATACAACACTTGCGAGGGATAAAGTTTGTCTTTTTCTTTTCTCTCTTAAACTCTCTCGATAAATTAATTACTATTTTACTGGGCTATATATATGTATATTGCATCCGGTTCTATTAGCTTATTATATATATATATATATGGTAATAACTGTATGTAATTAGAGTAACTATTTACAACCTTGAGATTATAACGTCTCGTGTTTACGGACACAAGGAACTCTGGTTTGCGTAAAATCATCATTCTCTCGCGCTGTGTCTGCCTCGAGAATTAATCCTGAAATAGCATTCCTCGAAATGATCAGGACAGGAGTGGAGCTGCTCGTGTTTGGATGATGAGAATGATGTCGATGATGATGATGATGACGATGATCATGATGTCGATGATGACGATGATGATGATTATGATGGTGATGATAAGCTCGTGACAAGATCGATAATTAACGTGTGTTTAATTAATGTGCATTTTCATTCGAAATTTCCCTTCACGTTGATCAAATATTCCTATATTTAATCAATCGAGAGTGGAATGAAAATCCTAATCCTTGATTATCCGGCATCAAGAGAGTGAAAGAAAACGAAATAATTCTTCTTGAGCGAATTTCATGATTATCCTTAAAACAACGGTCGGGAATAGCTCCTTCAGAACTTATATAGAAAGAAAAGTAACTCTGAAAGGAATGAACAGTCGATATACATGGCAGAGGGTGAGACTTCGACTTTCAAAAAAGAGAAAAAAAACGCGGATAAATGCGGGTTGTTTTTCCTCGGTAGGCTGAAGGGTAGAAATACACTACGAGAGCCTACGTATCTCTACATTATCCGATGGCTTCAATTATTATATTACGAACACAACATCATCTTTCCCTCCTTGCATTGCTATCCACCAGTCAAGATCTAATTACGTTTGGTCCGCAACGAGAGAAGGACACGAAGCTCTTGTTGCCGAACGAGTGACTTGGTAACATATCTTCTTTCTTTCCCCTCGTCAACAGGACCGCTCGCGTATTGCCCTGAGTATTTGTTTGTACAGTTAATATCTACAGGTTTTTCCGCGAATCTCTTGTGCGAGGGCTTCAAGCGGCGTCGATCTTTCTCTCGCGCGCGCGATTCTTTTCTCTCGCTTATTTATATATATATATATATATATATATATATATATATATTATATAACTCTCGACTAATCTCATCGATCGAGCGGAACGTCCTCGAAGTTAGTTACATTACCAAAGGGCTGGAAACCATTCTTGAAGATCCGGCCGCGACTGGTGCCCGCTTTCATCTGATCGAGCAGCGTCACGTTGTCCTCGAAGTCCTTGACCCACCTGGCGGTCTCGTGGCCCCAGTTGAACCGAATCGCCGCCGGGTTGTGGTAGACCTTCTTCTCACCCAGCATACGTATCTCGATCCCCTCGGCCGAGTGGTAGAAGGACTTCTCGCCAAAGTCCTGGTTCAGAAAGGACTCCAGCTCGGAGATGATCTCCATGAAGGTCGGCCGCTCACTCGGCCGCCACTTGAAACACTTTTCCATGATCTTCTGTATCGTTTCGGGACAGTTGCGAGGTATATGGAGCACCCCCTTGCGTAGCACGTGGTGCAGCACCTCCTCGTTCGAGAAGCCCTGATACGGGATCTCGGCGAGGGTGAGGATCTCGTAGAGGACGACGCCGAACGACCAGACGTCCGAGTCGGACGTGAAGACGCCGTCGGAGAGATTCTCAGGCGCCATCCAGCGTATCGGCAGCAGACCCTTCTTCCCGATCTTGTAGTAATCGGTGTCGTAGATGTCCCTTGCCATGCCGAAGTCGCCGATCTTGCAGACGAGGTCCTTGGACATCATGCAGTTGCGCGCGGCCAGGTCGCGGTGGACGAACTTCTTCGATTCGAGATAAGCCATACCGTCCGCGATCTCCGCCGCCATTCGCATGATCCTGGACGCGTTCGGCACCATCTGGGTGTCGCGTATCCTGCGTAGATACGTCTTCAAATCGCCGTTCTCCATCAGCTCCATGATTACGAACGGCGGATTACCCTGGGAGACCACGCCCAGGAGTTTGATGATGTGCCAGGTGGAGAAGTTCTTCATGACCGAGGCTTCGTTCAGGAACTCGTTCTTCTCCCGGGGATTCGCATTCTCCGAGATAGTCTTGATCGCCACCTGCACGGTACCGTCCAGGTAGCCTCGGTACACCATGCCGAAGTTGCCCAGTCCCAATTCCTCGAGGATCTCGACGTTTTCCCTGGGCACTTCCCAGCTGTCGACGATGTACTTGGTCTCGATGTAATCCGGATTCACGCTGGCTATCAAACGCTCCTGCGTCCGTTTCTTCATGTAACTCCTGAGTAGGAGCATCATCACGAGCAGGATGATGAATAGCCCGGATACGATCACTATCGCTACCATTATATAATTATTGTCCGACAGACCGACGGAGAAGTTGATCACGGCGGTGAAGGTTCCGTCACCGGCCAGCGACGTCGAGCGCATTCGCAGACTGTACCTACCCGGACTGAGGTTCCTGATGTAATGATTGTTGTACCTGTCCTTGCGGCCGGTGTACGGGATACACTCGGTGCTCTTCTTCGCGTCTTTCACGTCCAGATTCGTATACTCGATGGTATAGGAGACGGTGAACGCGTTCGGATCCTTGACCGATTCCCAGATCACCTCGACGATCGTCTCGTTGGTCACGTGAACCTTGACGTTGCGAATGTCGTCGGCGTTCGGTCGCCTCTTGGTCCGGGCGTTCGCGTACTGGATAGACGAGCACATCTCCGTGTCGCTGTCGACTTTCACGCCGCACGCGGCGATCGTGATGATGTACAGAGAGTAGTGACGTAATTTCTTCAGGTGAAACGAATTATTTCCAACGCTGACGTTGTACGTGAACACCTCGCCGTCTGTCTGACTGATCGCGATATTGCTGCCCGCGGTGGTGGAAGTGACATTCGTCGTCCCTTTCTGACTCTCCTCCGTCGAGGACAGGTTATTCGCCAGATCGTAGAACTTACTATCCGGCGAATTGTAGGTATTGAAGACGCAATAGTCCTTCCAGCCGGGCGACAAGTAGCTGATGGTCATATTTGTGTGGCAGAATATCTCGAATTGCTTGGAGGTCGCGAGTTTCGCGTTAGCGTCCTTGAAACAGCAGGAATTCGGATTCCCGACAAGCGGTGTCTTGATCGTCATCTCGTGTATCTCCTCCTCGGTCTCGCTGACCAAGGTATCGACGCAATAATCCCGGGAAGCGATCAGCTCCTCGTCGTCCGGTTGAATCGTGCTGGAGATCATGTAGTAACCTATGGGACCGTTCGGATACACCGGCGGGGCCCACTTGAGGAGGATCTCGCTGTCGCTTATCACGCTCGTGCTCACGTTCGTCGGCACCGAGGGTATCGTGCTTCTCGTTCGAAAGAAGATGATATCCGACTGACCCACCAAATTCACCTTCTCGTACAAGTTATTCTTTTTCCTCGTGATGAACGTCTTTACATACGCGGCGTACTTGGTGTACGGCTTCAAATTCATTATGTGCTTCGAGACGGTCGAGTTCCAGCTAGACGCGCCGACGTCCACAATCTCCCACGTGTTATTACCGCAGGCGTTCGACTCGTACATTACGTTTTCATTCTCGGTCTCTATATAATTTAGCAGATAATTGAGCAGCTGCTGGCCCTCCGGCGGCTTGAAACTGTCCCAGCTCAGCACCACGTGATCCGTGCCCCGCTTCGTCACTTTGATATTTATATTGACAGTGTTGCAGGCCACTTTGTCGCCGTTCGATTCCGGTTGTACCTCGAGATGAGTGTAATTGCTGATGTTGACCATCATAGCGAATTGCGCGATCTTGGTGAGACAGAGCTTGGGATTGTAATGGAAGAACAGTCTGCCTCTCTCTATCGTGAGGTTCTGCGTCGGCGGGAAGAGCGAGGAGAGATTCGGATTGTCCAGGACGACGAAGCTCGAGTTATTGATGTCCAGATTTTCACCCTTGATCACCTTGAGCTTCTTGAAGAAGTTCAGCGACGTGATCGGGAAGGAATGCGTTATCTTCACGTACTCGGTTATCTCCTCGATCAGACTGAACGCGTCCGCCAATTCGTTCATTATATTCGGATTCCCGTTTCTGATTTGAAACTCCAGGGCACCCTTCACCACCGTTATACCGCGAAAGCTCTGGGCGTCTGAAATGTGACGTATTATAGCGCCGTTTCCGATTTTACGGCACTGACCTTTGCAAACCCGGCAGCTTGTCACCTGTAATGCGAAGTCAAAAAAGAAAAAATCAAGAGAAAGAAACAAACAGGAAATATACAGAGTGTCCCATTTTAATCGATCACCCCCAATTTTATTTTTGATTATACAACAAAGTGTTTCAAATAAAAGTTGTTTGATTTGAAGGGGGGCAAAAGATGGTACTATTGATTCTTTTTTAAAGAGCGCTTTTCAAAGTCATTTGAAGGTCAATAAATTTTTTTATACAGAACCACTATATCTCGATTTCTCGCAATATGCACTATAAAAAGTTATAAGATGGCCAAAAAGTGAATGGCTTGAGATATTTTATATTTAAGTTTGACATAATTTTATATAAACTATGAATATCTCGTAAAACATAAATTTCTCGGCCATCTTACTCATAACTTTTTATACCGAAAGTTGCAAAAAATTAATATATATATAAAAAAATATAGCGATTCTATAAAAAAAGACTAAAAAGCACCCTTCAGTTGTGCAAGTTTTTGGAGGTGATCGATTAAAATGGGACATGTGTATGATAATTAAATGCAATTAAATGCAAAATCCGTACATTCTTCTCGATAATGTCGTCCTCGTGACCGTCGGGACACTGAGTGACGCAGGAGCCATTGAATGGCCGCCATATTTCGTCCGTTTTAGAAAATTTCCTGAACTGATTCATTTTCTGACACTCGTCCTTGCTGATGCAGCGTCTCGACAGATACGCGTATCTGCCAACAGAGAAAAATCCGTGTTACGCGTAAGACAGAAGAGACCTTTCTTCTGCCAGAGATAGAACGCATATCACATGTGTGTGTCACATGAAACTTTAAAACCTTCTCTTGCCGGTATTACACGCGAAAAGCTTTGAAGCGCGAGAGTAAAGGATGTGACGTATAATATGCGAGCCTTGTATAAGCAAAGAGATATTTTATACCGGCCGATTATAATCTTGTGTCTCGAGTGTCATCTCCTGCATAATTTTGTTAGAAAAAGATATGGTTTGGCGCAATTTTCGGAATAATTTAAAATTTAAATCAAAGCTAAATAATCTAGTAGATTTATCGCGCACATATTTTTGGATTCTACTTGTATATAAGATATATAAGATATAAACTTTCTGTGATCTAATTTTACTGTCACATCGCAACTGCACATTCTACGAAAGTTAACGAGTTACTCACAAATCAGGCGGACAGCTTTCGATACATCTTCCAGCATGTCGATAATGTTTGCAGACGTAGCACTCGGTGTCGCTCGGCCCGACACACTTTCCGAGACATTGTTCGTGACATTTAGACCTCTCTAGCAACTGACAGTGTTGAGCGGTCCAGCAGTTGCCGCCAGGACAGTGAGGACATCCTATAATCAAATAATAATAAAGAACAATATATTAAAAATTGAAGTCGTCTTCGATTCCTCTTTTTAAGATTTTGGTATAATTTTCGTTATACATTTTATACAGGGTATCTCAAAAGTGTTGCGATAGTCAAATATAGGATATAGGACTTTTGGGGGAACTAGCCCTGTATAATAAAAGAAAAAGAAATTCGAAACCATCTGTCACCTTTCATGTACGGGCAATTCTGTTCATTTCTGTTGTCTTTAATGAAATTCTCGCCAGCCGACACGATGTGGCTCCAATTCAGTGTACTGGTGAAGCAGAGAGCGGGATTCTTCTCGATGCGGACGCCGCCCCGGGAGATCCTGCTCAGACTGGTGAGACCGATCTGCGAAAAAGTTTCGTGGAATGATGAGTCAAGGGTCAAACAGCCAGTTAATTCGATTGACTGATTAACGTCACTTGACCCCCGGACCGTTTTAATCGGGTCCCATAGCGACAGATTGGACCCATACACCTTCGAACCTTACTGACTGAACTTGATTCGGCGTGGGAATGAACGATCGCGAGATGGATTCTACGTGACGGACGAGCGTGTCATGTCCGCGTACGAATAAAAATTCTAACGCTCTGTGAAAAATTGCAGTCCCACGAGACTCGTTTGTCATCGAGAGTGTCGGTATTAAATGCGATAAACTCGGGCGATCGGGCGCCGAAAGCTCTTAATAACCCTTCCACGCTGAGATTTGTGTGCAACAAATACAAATTTTCGACTCCAAACCCCCAATCGCTTATATTAAAATTCATGTCTGCGAGATGTTGAAGATATATGAGACCAAAAAGTGTTAATAAATTGATTTATCTATTCACTAACGAGAACAAAAATCCTTTGACGAGTCAAATAATTGCAAGTAAATCGATCGTATGAAATATAAACGGAAAATATAGAAATGTAACATTTTATACACAGAGAGAATTTTCTCTTAGAATTTATCCTGAAAGTTATGGTACTCGTGGGACAATATGATATTGAAAGAATTTTATAAGAGTTTCTCTATGAGTAATATTTACCACAATAAAAATATTAATGTCTATCACAATAAGATAAAATATATTTGATTAATTTTACTGGAATATACAGCAAAATGTTAACAACTTTAAAATATATTAAAAACTATGTTAAAAACTTTGGATTCCTTAAGTGTTTTAAATAGAATAGATGCCAGAAAAGTGATAAACATATAAAATATATAATATAAATTAATATAAATTTTAATATGCAGCATAGAAATTTTCTCATTATCAAACATGGTAAAACTTGTAGTGCATTTTGCGGTAAAATGTAACGAAAAATTCTCTCCGTGTAGGATTAATAGATAAAAATTGAAGTTGCGGTGAACTTAAAAAACTAAGATGCCAGAAAATATTTCATTCACGCACATATAATTAGTAGAAAAATCCGATATAGCTATCCAAAATCCAAGTGTCAAATTATTCATTCTAATGACAGGATCCATGTCAGATTCATATTCTTATAAAACGGCGGAGAAAAAAAGCGCAAAGATGTTTCAGGCGAAAGATTAAAAATTATAATCCGATAAAGATTCTGCTGTAGGCTAATTTCATTATTAACGAAGAGTGAAAAAAAGTAGAACAAAGTTACCAAAAGAAGAGAGAGAGAGAAAAAGAAAACAAAGATACAAGAGAGCTCGCGAGAAACTCTCACCTCTTGCAAGTTCATCATCTCGTAAATCATGAAGGCGTAATCCGTGAGGAGTATATCGCCCCGGATGACCTCGAGATTCGGGAAAAGTTTGCTGAGGCTCTTCAGACCGTCGACGCGATACAGAAGCAAGTATCCGGTGATTTCGCGGAGTTCCGGGAAGGTGACGTTCTCAAAATCCGCCTCGGTGTTGTTCTCGATCAGGACGATCTGCAGGAAGCCCTCGATCACGTGACAGTCCTTCAATATCGTGAAGAATTTCACGTTGTTCCTGATGTCGATGCTCTGACAGATCCCGTCCGCTATAGTCACGTTCTTGTATCCCTTCCGTCCTTTCTCGTGTCCGCCCACCTCCTCGCTCGATTTCATGTGCGATTTCGGCAGATTCGACGACTGACTAGACTGCTGATTGTTCTTGGACCCGACATCCGTGGATCTGGAAGGGAAAAGAGACGCGTTTTTCGTTTAATTGCAATAGAGCGAACTTCTGTCCCTTCACTTTTTTCCTCGCAAACTCCGAATTTTCGATTGTCCGGGCAAACTTTGGCACGTCGAGATTCTATCTCCGTATTGTTATATTAAACTCTCGGAATCGAAGCTCCTATCGATCAATGTTCCGCTGAAATTTTCATCAAAAACTGAGTCTTTTTTTTTTTGTAATAATAACTTGATAGTTACAATTCGATGCGAATGATAATTTTCGTACACGCGTAATAAAATAAAACACGTGTGTTTCGTTTCTCGTTAAATTTTCAACGTAAAAGAGCGCTCTTTCGTTTATAAAAAAAAATGTTAAAACAAATATATTCCGCGCAGATTTAAAAGGATTACCTGCATTTAAATGAACTTGCTTTTTGTGCGCGATACCATGAATTACTCGTTCAACCAAGTAAAATTAGCGAGGCGTTTAAAAGCCGTTAATAACTTTAATAAGATCAAAGAGAATTTCAATGTCGACGACGCGGGACAGAAGAGAGAGAGAGAATCTCGTCGCGTCGCAATCTCGACGGTATATACTATATTTTACGTAATTATCGATCTGAAGGAATTTATTGGCTAAAATAATATCACTTAACGCGCTTATCGTCGTATATTCGAAATAAACGCCGCAGTTATATTGTATAGGTGTCATTATGCGAAATCTGTCAGAGACACACGTCAATTTCGCAACAGGCAATTTCTGCACGTCTTTTGCATCTTTTGCAGTTTTGAAAATTCGCAGATATCACGTACGATATCTCCGATTACGAAAGAATTCGCTGATATATCGAGCGAACGCAAAAGTACGGTTGGGCTCTTCAAAAAAAAAAAATCAACCAGGTCGTTTGCAAGTCGAACGACTGATTTACATTAATCAATCATATATTTATATATTTTTTTTTGCAAAAACATTTTTCTTTAAGATAAGAAATATTGTCACATCAAGAGCCTTATTAAAGACTTTAAAAAATATATATATTTTTTTAATTAAAATGATTATTTTAACTAAATTTCCGTGAATTAAATTTGAAAATTTGTTTCCCCTCAAACATTTTTTGAAAGACTTTAATAAGACCTGATGTGACAATCATGTGTAACTGTCAAAAATATTTTCTCTAAAAAAAATTTTTTAAGAAAAACTATAACACATTTTTTTGCAAAAACATTTTTCTTTAAGATAAGAAATATTGCTACATCAAGAGCCTTATTAAAGTCTTTAAAAAATATATTTTGTTTTAAATTAAAATGATTATTTTAACTAAATTTCCGTGAATTAAATTTGAAAATTTGTTTCCCCTCAAACATTTTTTAAAAGACTTTAATAAGACCTGATGTGACAATCACGTGTAACTGTTAAAAATATTTTCTCTAAAAAAAAATTTTTTAAGAAAAACTATAACACAAAGAGAATTTTCTCCTAAAAATTATGAGTCACGAGACAATATAATATTGGAAGAATTTTATGAGAGTTTCTCTTTTGATTATATTTATTGCGCAATAAAAAATATGTTTACTACAATAAAAAATAAAATATGTTTGATTAACTTTGCTAAAATATATATTAAAATTTGAATAATTGTAAAATATATTAAAAACTTATGAGAGCCTTCAAGTGTTTTAATAGAATAAAAATCCTTAAAAAAATGATAAATATAAAATATTTTATATAAATTTTGCACTACTGCATAATATTTTCAATCTGGCTTAATCGCTCATGAAAATTTTAATGTACAGTAATATTCGACTTGATTCCGAACATGATAAAATTTGTATTGAATTTTGCGGTAAAATATAACAAAAAATTCTCTACATAATATACAAAACACATATAACATATAAACTACATATATAAAATATATCATATACCAGGGTTGGGTAAATTAATGATTTTTTTAAAACAAAGTTAAGCCAAAGTTGGTTGCTTATAAAATGAATGTAATTAAGTTTAAAAGTTGCATGAATAAAAAATTAACTCCATTAAAGTTTATTTTTAAAAACATTATTTATATCAAGTTAGAATTCTGTTTGTTAAAACTTTTCAAATTTTTAATAACAAATAAATTTGTATTTCTATACAGAAATATATCTTGGTAATAACAATTGATGACAAATGAGCATAAAAATTAATAATACGTTTATAATTGATTAAAAAAAGTTAATAAGTTTAAGATCAAAAACAACTAATAATTAAAAAGTAATAGATTTAAGATGAACTGATCTAAGTTATCAACTATTTATTACCCGACCCTGCATTGTACGAAAGCAAAGGTTCGAGGAAGTGCATACTTGGAGTTCTCGATGGCCCGGTTGTTCCTGTAGGCGGTCAGCTGGACCAGGTCGGGATCGTAGCTGTTGACATCCGAGGAGCTCGCGTTGTAATAAACCTCGAAGTCATCATCCCCAGTCCTGTCGACGTAATCGGGCTCGTACTTGCCCTTGGCGCTTTTATCCCGGTGCTTCGCGATCGCCTTCGGCCTCTTCTCCTGGCCGAGCGCCAGGCTCGCCATCGTCACGCACAGTAGAACGATCGGCAGCAACGACTTCCTCGTCCTCATCTCCCTGTCTCATTGAAACAAACACCGCGGATCCACCCGTTGAGCCGTCCCGAGTTCTTATTCCCCCACGTGAGTCCTCGTCGTCGCTCGTCGTCGACCCACCACTTACCGCCTCCGCGATGATTGATCGACGATTGATCGTCGACTCTCTCCTCCTTACGACTTTCTTCCCCACCTTCTTCTTCTCTTGGATTCTCTCGCTGGATCGTCTTGATTGTTATACTTTTTCCCGGACTCGGCGGGAGGACTTCAAAGCAGACCGCAGTTTCCTTTAATGTTTAAAGAAAGACCGTTTCAAACTGTATACAATGGCAAATGGCTCTTGTTTTCTCTTGCATTCAAAAGCCGCTTTGTCTCGCCGGCCTTTTAACTCGGGACAAAAGGCAACGTGAGAACGATACGCGATAAGGAAAAATTATATCAAAAAATATATATTTATATATGTAGTATGTATATAGAAAAAAATATTGGCTATAGCTGTATCGCATGGAGAAGAGACAAGCGTGAAGGAATGAAACGAGAGATCTAGAGTAGTAATTGACCTTTTTCAATTCCCGAGTGCTAAACATCGGAGTTAACTGTTCAGCCAATTTATCAAGTGTCAGTATAAGAAAATTGTATTTGTCCGATGCTACTTTTCTAACTGAATCATCTCCGAGATTGGTAATAAAATTGACCGGGGTGTCTAACAGGGAAAATGAAGTTTAAGGACGTTTCCAGGACATTTCAAGGAAACGTGCACGATTCTTCAATAGTATGATGAAGATGTATTGGATTTAATTGATTAGTGAAAATTGATATAGGGTCAAGGTGCCGATTATGAGATACCATTTACATTTTTTTGATTATTTCCAAAATATATGCAATTAGGAAAGTATATCTATATACTGTTTTTAATCGTCATTTCATGTAGTTTAATCCTACCTCAATAAAAGTTATATCTCGTTCGAGTTTTAATATACATAGGTTTGATTAAAGTAAGTCAGTTTTTGTATCAAAACCAAAAGGTCTCCTAATATGAGATACCGCCTTTTATTAGATAAACTTAATTTCATTTTTATTAACACCAAAAATAAAAGACATATAGATAAAAGTAAATGGTTTTATTATTACCTGTCTTAATTTGAAACCTTTTACAGTATTATATCTTCAGAACCAATAATAAAATTTAAAAATATAGCTTCAATTATATTATTTATTAGACTTATTTCCTCTTATATCAAAATGTCAAAAATATGAAGATAGGCACTTATATTTTAAATCAAACGAAAAACTATCCTTAGAATAGAAAAATAAAATAAAAAACAAAACCAAAAAAAATTTTAAATAGATTTTTAAATTAATTTAAAAATTTTTAAAAAATTTTTTTAATTTCTTAATTTTAAAATTTTTCGACGCTTTAAAATATCGTCCTTGGATCGGACAGCATCAATAGCCTTAATCGTGGCGCTAAGATTCCAGCTTTTTACTTTTTGATGGCGGTCTAAAGACATAAATTATTCTTAAAATAATCAATTATCTACGTTACAAAAAAAATGGTTCCTAATATTTGAGATATCTCATATTACGAGACCTTCGGTATCTCTTATTAAGAATTTACTATTCGACCAAGATTCAACATTTTGTTTCACTTATAAAACACTATATATAAATATTTTCTTATAACATGCATAACACATATTTAGCCTCTGTAACTAAAAAAACATTGCATCGTTTACGAAGTAAGACGAAAAATGTTTTACTCGAAAACAGTCTCAGCTGAAGCAAGGAAGAAGACCCATCAAAAGGATTTCGCAAAGATTCAAGTATACATTTCCAGGACTTTTGAAAAGGACAAACCAAATTCCAGACACATATGAAGGATCTCAAGGACGGCTAGACACCCCGAATTGACAAACTTGGTACAAAATGTGTCTCTTACTCCTGAGATTGCTTTGCAATATATTCGAGAAGACTCGCAGAAGCGCGGCGTATTTAATATCTCCTCCTTCAGAGAAGTCGCGCAACAATAAAGGGATATTCCGTCCTATTTCCGACGAATATACGCAAATGCTAAAATACACACAACGAAGCCATTATTTCCGTGTACCTGCGGATTAAACGATTGAAACGGGAGGTCGAGAGGCAGACAGAGAGGAAGCTCTCGCAGCCGCGAGAAAAACACTCCGAGTTATTCCGCGCTCCTGTCCTCCTCCCTCGTAATCGATCGATCGTCCCCAGCGTTTGCCCCAGGCTCGCGTGTAACCCTCTCCGATTTTGCCGCCTCCTCTTCCCTTCGTGACTCGGACGCGGCTGGTTCTCCGGGTGACCGGATTTCGCGAACAACGTTCGCGCGCTTCTCTCTTCCTTCCGGGATCTCGGGGAATCAGAAATCCTCCTCGGGGTCTCGATATATATATATATATATATTTATATATGTATATATTGATATATATATACATATATATATATATGTAGATATTTCCCCGTGACAGAGTAGAAATGCACCTGATCGCGACGATTGGGACCGTCGAAAATATGCCTTCAGAGTACCTTCTTGTTGAAGATGAAGTACTTTTTAGCCTTCATAATTACGCCGTCGCGCCGAAATTATCTGTGGACAAAAGAAGAAAACGCAACGTTATTAATATAACGCAGGACTTTTTTCATTTGGGTGAAATTGATTTTTTTTTTTTTTTTTTTTTAGAATTACGAAAAATATATTTAATATACGTATGCATGGTAAAATTAATACAACATATTTTATTTCTTATTTTGTGGTGCATATTAATATTTTTATTGCGATAAAAAAAATTACGGGAATTTATAAAATTTTTCCAATACCGTATTATCCCATTTATTTATATTTCAGGGTAAATTCTAAGAAAAAATTCTCTGTGTGAGAATCATAAAAAAAAAAAAAGATTGTGAACATTTTCTGCGCTGATAATTCTTTTAATGATGTACATCTCTATAATAAGAAATAAACGAGCAATTTCCTACTTGGAGCTTTCGGCAAAATTATAGATGAAAATATTAAAATATTTTCGATTGAAAAATGAGATCAAAGGTAGGAGAAAAATATTCGAAAATATTTTTCTCGTCCAAATTAGTTATAAATCTAGTATTATATACACAGAGAAAATTTATTTTTAGAATTTACCTTAAAAATCACGTGATAATGTGAAACAATATGTTATTGGAAGACTTTTATAAGAGTTTGTCAGGTTAATGTTTGATTAATTTTACACTATATGTACGTATTAATATTTTTTATTGTGATAAATATTAATCAGAAAAACTGTTATAAAATGATTCCAATATCACATTGTCCCAAGATTACCACGATTGTAAATTCTAAGAAAAAATTCTGTGTGAGAATCATAAAAAAGATTGTGGACATTTTTCTGCTCCGATAATTGTTTTAATTATGTTCGAATCGGGTTTTAAAAAGTTTACGAGATACATCTGTGAATGAAAGAAATTAATTAGTTTTTTAATTATTAATTAAAAAAATCCTCGAATGATCTGTTTATGCAGCCCGTGAAATCTACGTTCCTCCATAATCGTCAACATGAATATTTCCAAATATGAGTGTAATATAATAAGTGTGCGTATACCCAAGCGTCTCTAATGTAGCAAACTTTACATACGCTTTACCGTTACGCTTAATTTAATTAAGCAAATTTGCATAAGATACTTAAGCGAGAATATTTAAGCGTATATCCGCTAATTAACTATATAAAAACATACCGACGTTCTAAACTAATTCGCAAATTAATAAGACGACGTCAGATTCTAAACTCTCGATATAATATTCGTATTCTTTTATGCACATATTTTAATTATACTAAATATTCGGATATTAACTGTAATAAATTATGCAAACAGAAATTGAAATATTGCTTATTACTTCCGTTTAACTCAGACAATGAAAAATGAACAATACTTAGAGTTTGATTAAAATACAAAAGTTTCTTTGAAAAGATAAGATCTAATAAGCGAAATACAAATCGCAATTAAACTTAGAAAGACGAGCATCTGTGTATTTGTGCGAATATAACTGGATTCAAACTAATTACAACAGCGTGTGATACAACTGTAAATATATATAACTGTAATATAACTAATTATAATTAAAAAACTCCAAATAGGTAATAGAACTGATATAATTAATTATAACATTTTGGTATCTTTATTGATATGGCTCTAGTAAAATTAAAATTACTAATGATACGTAATCTTTGTGGAAATGCATTACATCGGAAATAAATGCATGATAAATCATGAATTTTAATTAAATGTAAGGAATTTATTAATGTAAGGAATTCTTATCTCAACTGGAACTTTTTATGTATTATTTTATAATTATGTATATGATTAATCTAATGAAATTCTCTCTCTAAACTTCTATTATCATACATATATGTATGAATTCTAAAATGTGATTAGAATTTAATTAATAGAATTATTATGATAGAATACGCACACAATGATTAGAATTTATATTTACTTATGAAATTTTCTCGTATAATATCTCAACTCAAATAAACATTTTAAAAATCTCTCATTAATTCAAATCTATATTTGCGCATAATTTATTATAAATGTATACACGGAGAAAATTTTTCGTTATATTTCACCGCAAAATTCACTACAAATTTAATCAATTTTATCATTTAGTAATAATTCGAAAATTATCATGTTGCATGTTAAAATTATCATGAATGGTTAAGCTGCATTGAAAATATACTGCATTGTGAAATTTATATAAAATATTTTACATGTTTATCAATTCGTTTTACTTAAAACACTAAAAGAGAGAATCACAAGTTTTTAATATTATATATTTTAAAATTATTGAAATTTTACAATATATTTTAGCAAAATGAATCAAACATATTTCTATATCTTATTGTAGTAGATATTAATATTTTTTATTGCGGTAAAAAATATTAATCAAAGAAACTCTTATAAAATTCTTCCAATACCATATTATGCCACGATTACTGTGAATTTCCGGATAAATTCAAAGAGAAAATTCTCTCCGTGTATTAAAAGGTGCACCATTCAGTTATCGATCTCTTCTGGAATATTAATTTATTCAATGTCGTACACTGAAGAAAATATTTATAAAATTACATGATTACGCTAGGTTTTTCGACCCAGAACAATCACACAATATTGCTGTAAATGCTATAAAATGCTATAAAATAATGTTATAAATAAAATGGAAATACTTAGTAAAATAAAGTTCTAATAAAGTAAAAATAGTGAATTTAAAATTACACACGATTTTTGCATACAAATAATAATTTTACCAATATTTTACATGTATTTTCACTTTAAAAGACGTGGACAAATAAATTACAGTAATAAGCAAGTAATTTTCCAATTCTGACCAAGTCATTTCCATGTACAAATACATGGATTTTTTTCAGTAGATGAGGAAGGGAGAAAAGATAAATCTAAGTTTTAATTTTTCGGAAGAATCAGGTGCTTGCAATCACGAAGCGGGTAAGATATAAATATTTATTCGTGATGGATTTAATAATTTTATCGCAAACGCACAAACCCATTCGTGGATACCTGCTGTGTATTTAATTAGAGTAAAGTAAATCAATTCGACTCGGGATGTCCCGCAGGAGACACTCGAGCGTGTTCGCTAATTAAAGTTAGGTAAATTTGTACTCATTCGAGATTTTATGGCCGGATAGTTCTTCCCGCCAGCAAAGCGACCTGAGGGAAGCGTGTACACGTATATTTTGCTTCGTAAAACAATATATATATACATAATCTGGAAATAAAATAGATGTAATAATGTGAAATTCTTGGATAAAATTGAGGACTTAAGTTTTATTAGACTAATTTACATACAAAGCGACGCGAAAGAGAGAAAGAGGAGCTGAGAACAAGAGCTAAGACAAGCCAGAGAAGGCAAGATGTGTTCCTTGATGAGACTTTGATGAGGCCATAAACTTCGAAGTCGATCTTTGCTTATCGTCTTTAGTTATCTTTTGTCTCTTATGATCTCTTCCAATTTTCCAACATTAAATATCTTAGACAGAGCAGTTAAGCTTCAAACTATATAAGATCCCGTCATAAAGTGGAGTTTATGTTTAAACTATAAAATCCAAAAATAATATTTCGTTACACATTCTCGCGAAGCTGATTAAGGGAATGCCGGAGGTACGTTTTTACCGACCGAATGCGAATATTTAGTTTTTTTTAAATAACTTTTTATTACTATACTGATCAATAAATCCTTTTCCACGATTAAAGTACTTATAAAAACGGACCGCGTTAGCTATGATTGCATATATAAATCATATAAAAATAAAAAATTACAGTTTTGTTATCAACTTGTTTGTGTCAGTTCGTAACAATACTTATTTAATAAAAAAAGTTCTGCAGTTTGTCTGTGCATGAAATATAGTATACGCGGTAAGGATAATATGAAGAATTATTAGTAAACGATTAAAAGTGAGATTGCAAGTCTAATAAAAAAGTTATATATTAAAAACATTTTCACGCATATGTGTTGTACACGTGCATATGTTTAGATATGTGTGGTGCTAACCTATCATGTGTGAAGAATATTTCTCGCGCATCAGCGTTCAAAAAAATCGAAAAAAGGCTCCTCCTCGAGTTAAACGCAAGTAAATACGGAAACCCCAAGTTCTGGTCTTTAAACTCGTTTCCCTTATTTTTATCGCGCTCTTCATCAGCATTTCCTTCTTTCACGCCGTTCATCGCTCGGCAAAAGCCGAGATATCTACCATCTTGGATTACAACGTCAGCGATGGAGGAAATTCGCGCGCGTTTCTGCAATTTATTTATGTCCAAGAAACCGTTCCTTCCCATTTTAGTTCTCCGGCGGTGAAGCCGCGGCAGAAGAGAGCTTTGCGCAAAAAAAATTACCATAAACTCCGCTGTTATATCAACATATCGCATGAATGTAGAAATTGCAGTTACGCGAAGGAGGGAGGTTTTCTTCCGCAAGCGGAGCTTTTCGGCGGAGCGTTTCGTCGCTCCGTTGCATTTTATTAACCCACTTTACGGCGGGACCTAAAGTGATTTCCCTAAGTAGAAGTTATTTGCGTGAACCTTTATAGCGCAAGACTAGTATGTATTATTCCGGTATTTCTGTCGTCGTAACTTAAGGCACCGTGCATCGGTATTCCGGCAACTTCTCACAAGCAGGAAGGGAGTTACGAGATGTCAAGAACATAGAGAGAGAGAAGTTTGAGTTATTTCGGATTTCAGAGCTGCTTCGACAGCTGCTGTCATTATTCGCGGTTTTACGCGATATTCCGTCGTCGGAGGTTTATATACGCCTCCGCGTTTCAGGAGAGGTTCTGGCTTGATTGAAGTGACGCGGCTTCGTCGACACGGAATGATTTACGCCGACATAAAGAATCGTCTCCCTCTCGCGTGCGCCTCTGACGTCATGATCCAATATCGGTTCATGTAGGTAGAGATTGGTGTACGTGGGTGGAGAAGAGACCCTTAACGCGAGTTCCTCGTTCAAGACCTCCGGTCTGATAATTGTGTCGTCGACCACTTGGTTGTACAACTACGTGTGAATATCTTAATTCGCCGTATATAAATATCC